TGTGCCGTCCTGTGCCGATGGCATGCATGTGTCATAGTGTACCCATGGCATGCATGTGCCGTCCTGTGCCGATGGCATGCATGTGTCATAGTGTACCCATGGCATGCATGTGCCGTACTCTACCGATGGCATGCATGTGTCATAGTGTACCCATGGCATGCATGTGCCGTCCTGTGCCGATGGCATGCATGTGTCATAGTGTACCCATGGCATGCATGTGCCATCCTGTGCTGATGGCATGCATGTGTGCCATGCTGTATTGATCGCATGCACATGTTGTATACTGTGCTGATCATGTGCACGTGTCATACCAATACCAATGGCGTTAACGTGCCGTACTGTACGGATGGTGTGCAAGTGTCGTACTGACACCAATGGTCTGCATGTGTCATATTGATACCAATGGTGTGCACGCATGGTATTGATACCGGGCTCTCAGAGCACGCACCTGCCCTCTTTATGAAGTCCTGGCCTGTGCTTAGAGCACCAGATGGAACAGACCTGCAGTGTCGTGTGCTAAGCACTTTGACGTCACCTTGTGGAAAGTGTCCTTTAAGTGAGGGAGGCCTGAAGACTTCGCAGAGACTCTGAGTCCTTGCAGAGTGTGGAGCAGTCCAGTTAAGTCCTTCTCACCTCAGAGAGGCCAGAGGATAGGCTGTCCCTAAAATAGCTTCAGAGGGAGGGAGGGACAAGGAGGCGTCATCAAATGTCTCACTCACTTCTCTGCTAATCCAAGCCTGCTGCTCGGGTCTGCAGGTCAGGGAGGAATCCGTGTCAGCTCTCCGGCCTGCCCACCCATAAGGACGGCACCGTGCCTGTGCCCTGCCAGTTCAGGGCATTCTGGGGCTGGGCGCTTGGCAGTTGTAGATGCAAAATCCACGAGTCAAAGAGATTTCTCAAGTAGCCCCTTCTGTCCCAGCCAGGGTCTACACTAGGGAATGTGTCCCAAAGCTCCCCCACTCTTGGAAGGAGCGTGCCCGCTACACAGGGGCAGCACTGCCTAGTGCCTGGAGTCTCATGGCCACGCTGGCAGATTTGATGGCCATGGAGGTGTCTGCTGCGCATGGGGAGTCGTCCGAATCAGCTGTTCCTTGCCTGTCTTGTGTGGTTCAAAACGTGGCACATCGGGAATAAACTGACCACCTCTGGACATCAGTTAACTTCTAGGCCTGGAATAGCTTAAATTTTTGGGTCCCATCAGTTGGGAACATTAGGTTTTTGTTACTGTTTCATTGTATGAAAATTTGTGTGTTGTTTTCCAGTGGAGAACTGAGTTGTATGCATGAGGGGCAAGCCCACAGGTGGTGTGGAGGTTAAGGTGGCTGGATCCTATGTGGGTGGTGGTTCGAGTTCCAGACCTGGTGGCTTGAAAAACACACTGTGCACCCAGAATCCTGAGAAGAGAAGGGACTGCAGCGTGGCCGTACCCCTTGGGGGGTAATTTCTCACTTCTCCTCTCCTTGTCTCTGTCTCAGATGAGCACACGCACCCTATAGCAAAAACAAACAAACAAACAAACGCACACACACAAAACAATATGCTAGAGGCAAGATGCAAACGTGGCTTTGCTAGTCATGCAAGAATTCTCTATCCTCAAGGGGGTTCGTATGGATGTGGAGCAACCCGCAGCAGGTCACTGCCTGCACCTTCTGTTCTGATTTGGAGGAACGTGAGAACCACCTTGAAGCAGCCCAGACTGACAGCTGCCTGGGCTTCCTGTTCCTCCTCCTGAGCTAGCTGCCCCTCCCCTGAACTCCTGAGGGGCTGGAGGCCTTGAGCAGGCTGGAGTCCCTGCTTCTCTGCCAGCTCTGTATTAGGACAGACATTAAGCCCCTTCCCTGACAGGACACTCCAAGCGTGCTGAAACCGCCCCTCTCCAATTCACCCGTAAACACTGTCCACCTCTCAGCCGGGCAGGGATTCAGTGCTAACTCCTCCGTGCCTGCCGACATAATGAAGAGTTCTCCTAATCTCTCCAAGTGCTGCTTTCCGTTCCTTGGCGCTGGTTGTCTACAACAAGCACATGCTCACACACACACATGTGTACATACACTCACACACATGCACTCACACGCCCTGAATTAGCCGGGTGTAGACAGGCACTTGGAGTGAGCTCTCTAACGGGGGTCCTCACTGTGGGTCCCCTTGATGAGGTCTTGCTGTCGGCCCAGCCCCTGTGGGGAGGCCCAGCAGGACCCGTGCTCTCTCCCGCAGGACGGAGAGATGTGGTCGGCCATCAACTGCTCCGTGTGCGCGTGCGTGAGAGGCAGGACCGAGTGCCAGAGGAAGCAGTGCCTTCCCGTCAGCAGCTGCCCCCAGGTACGTCTGCGGTGCGCGTTGAGGCTCTGTACTGCCGTGTGATGTCGTCCTGCATGTGGTGCAGCCACATGCCGGGTCCTGGCTGCAGGGTCGGCCCCTCACCTTTCCTGTTCTGAAGAGCCGAGGGCCCCTCCAGAGGCCCGCACCTTTTCTGTGCAGCCGGGTTCTGGTCCCGCGTGGAAACGCTCTTGCCGTGCCCTTGTCCCCACCTCTCCGTTTCTCCGTGACTTCTGCTGGTTCTTAGATTTTAAGATACGTCCCCCAGTCCTGCTACCCCTGCTGCCTTGTTTCCTCTGCCGGCTTTCCTGTTCCTCCCCACCTCCCCTGCGCCAAACGGCTTTCTTCAGGAGCCAGGAGTACCGGTGGCTCAGCGGCAGGCCCGGCTTTCTCCTGCCTCGCGGCCGCCCCGACCTTAACTGGGGTTTGCTTTCCAGCTCTGGCCTGCACTCTAGCTCCGACTGGAAACAGGGCCCTCTGGAGATCTCTCTTCCTGGAGCCCGTGGGTCCAGCACACTGCATAAAGCAGCCATTGTTTTCCGAGCGTGAGCATCACTGATTCACCTCAGCAACTTGAAACCTTTCAAGGTTTTGTGCACTTCGGGAACATGTCAGACCTACTCAGCCCCTTCCCGTGAGCGAGAAAATACATCCGTCTGTTCGCGATGCGTCCTCCGTCTCTCTTGTAGACAGTGTTAATCTCGTCCACATCTGTTATTACTATAAACAAAAGGTCGCTGTTTTCACTCCAGTGCCAAACAGGGCACAAAAAACAACAGCTGCTATTGCACAACCGAATAAGAGGGAGAGAGAAAAGGAAAAAAAAAAAAAAAAAAACCTAATTAGTCTTGCTTTAAAAAGCCTCAGACTGGGACCAGCAGTTAGCATAATGGCTATGTCGCTGGACTCCCACGTAGTCAACCGCGGTTCGAGTCCCGGACCCGGTGGCTTAAAACTCATGCCAGGCACGTGTGCGTGTGTGCCCAAGATCCCGAGAGGAGAATGGAGAAGGGATTGCAGCGTGACCATCCCTCCAGGGGGTGATTTCTCGCTTTCTGGCTCTCTGTCTGTCTGGCGAGCGCATGCGCCCTATAGCAAAAACCTCTAACCCCAGGAGTGTTTTCTCACTTTCTCTGTCTGTCTGGCGAGCGCATGCGCCCTATAGCAAAAACCTCTAAAAAAAGCCTCAGACATTAAACTGAAAACCTCCCATGAAAGAAATGTGAAAAGGAGCTATGATAAGTAGACATGAATGTGGGCCTCGTAAATACTCCCTGAAGAAGATGGATCCCTCGCTTATGCCGTCCCCCGAGAGCCCCGCTGCTAGTGAGCCCTGCCACACATGCCAGTAATAAAGGGCTCCCTTGTCCCACGGGACAGCACGGGCTGCTGGGCCAACCTGGGGCTCCATCCCGGCCTGGTGGACCGGCCTGGAGTTGCCAGCTCCCTGGCGGGCCGCCCCTCGGAGCAGGGTTGGGGGTTTCCTGTCGTCCGGCCGTGGCGAGGTTGTCGCTGTGTACCATGGGCATCTCCGTGGCTTTCGACCCTCCTGGCTACTCTCGGGCCGGAGCTGCCATCCCTCCAAGCGCAGCCGTTCCCTCTTTGCCCCCTCCACGCCTTGGGGCAGCTCAGTGCCCAGCTCCTGCCTCGGGGCCACTGTTCTATTCTAGGCATCTTTCCAAACCTTCCTTCTGTCCACTTTCCCTTCTCGGAGGCCAGGATGAGGTCCTCGGGAAATAGCTCAGCCTATGTGGAAATCCTGTAAAATTCACTTCCCTCCTCCACACTGCCTGGGGAAACGCAGCGAGAAAAACGGAAGCCATCTGTCCCTGCCCTGCCCTCCCTGAGTCCCCGCGTCTCTGTCCCGCGGCCCTGTGTCTGGTGAGGGGGCTGTCCATGCTGGCTCCCCACCTGCCCTCCCTGAGCTCGCCGCGACGCAAAGGCGTTTGTCTGTGAGAAGGGCCACACGGGTTCCTGTGGGGACAGGTTGACACGCAGTATTCTCTCCACGCCAGCTTGATGTCACCCATGGCTGCGACGGTGCCTCTGACCCCACTTACAGAGGACGCTGCGGCCTGTCCTGGTCCTAACCCGGCTGCGTCCCTGTGACTGCTCCGTTGAACTCTGTGCGTCACTGCACGCCCGGGAGCAGGGCAGGGGCGGACGCCGCGTGTGGGGGGCCTTGGCTTTCAGCAGCTCCGCCCTTGGAGTGCGGTACTGGTCCTCCTCTCAGGGCCGTTGCTCATGGGCCAGGGCTGATGGCGTGTGGCTTGTCCTCTGCTGCTTCCTCAGGACAGTCCCCGACCTCTGTGCCCATCAGAAGTGGCCCGCAGAGCTCTCTGCTGAGAGGACATGGTCACCAGCTGTGGGGGTGACATCCCCCTGCCGTGTGGGGGTCATGTCCCCCAGCTGTGGGGGGTTGACGTCCCCAGCCGTGGGGTGAGTGTGACATCCCCTAGCTGTGGGATGTGACATCCCCCAGCCGTGGGAGGGTGACGTCCCCTGCCGTGGGGTGGGTGTGACGTCCCCCAGCTGTGGGGGTGAGGGCTGAGGTCGAGGTCGTCGCCCTGTCTGCTGGGCCACTTCTTCCCTGGCCGACCCACCCTGTCCTGCGTGTCCACCCAGCACTTGGAAGCCCAGGTGACAGCTGTGGGCCTGGGCCTGCTCCCGGTGTGGGTGCCCAGTGGCGCCTACCGAGGACACCTGTGTTTGGGGCGGCTGTGACGCCTCCGTGAGGTGCGGACGAGGCTGCGGAGGACCCTGCGTAGAGTGTGGCGGGTACTCAAGGACTCCCAAGGACAGAGGGCATGGGGTTGCGGTGGGGACCATGACACGGGGTCACACGGGTGGGCTGGGGCGCTGCCTCTCTGCTACACGCAGCAGTTGGTTCATCTGCGGGGCCTCGGGGAAGTCAGGACGCATGTTCACAAAGAAAAACTGCATACGAGGACATCTCAGCAGAAAGCGGAGCCCGTGGGCGCCCCACAGCAGTGACCGCCGTCCGCTCTGCTGCCCACAGCCGCAGCCTGCGGGCGCGTGCACTGCTGAATTCCTGTGGTCGCCCCACGCCCGGTAACGCAGGGACTCTGGCCGGCCGCCTGCCACCCAGCAAGCACTGGCTCCGTGTGGCTAGGCCCCGAGTGGGGCGGAGGACAACCCGGTCTGACTCAGTCCAGAGCGCACCTTGTCCTCTCCATACCACGCGCTCAAAAGCTACAGAACACTGCACTTCCGGGAAGGCGACGGGAGTGACTCCACAGCCTGCGGCACTCAGCCCTGGCCTGGCAGCACAAACTCCGCCGACAGCCTACCGCCTTCGGAAAGCCGGGCGGGCGTGCAGTGGTGGCACGAGCATCGTGCTCCTGGGACAGGCGAGGCCCGGGCTTGCGTTACGGGCATGGTTCGCGTCTGGGCTGCCCCAGCAGGTGCAGACAGAGGAACGCCCACGTGGATGACGCGGGGCAGGGTCCCCCTTCATCTGCCGTGATCCCTATAGGGCTCCATCCGGCATCGGTGAGGCGGGGTCCGGACTGTCTCCAGCTTCCCTCGTGGGTGGAAGACCACAGCAGTGGGTCCGTCGGGTGTTCTCTTCTTGGAGGATGAAAGCAGGAAAGCTTTCTGAATGACCTCCTGGCACGAGAACCCACCGCCGTCATCAGCATGGGGGCCTCGGGCACACTGGGCATCTGCTATTAGACTTAGCAAGAGACGTGTCCTGAGACTTTGTTCACACTGACCTTTCCTTTGTTTTTCTCCTGATTAGGGCAAAATTCTCAACAGAAAAGGATGCTGTCCTATTTGCACCGAAAGTAAGTCTGTTCTCGCGCTCTCAATGTCCCCTTGCGTTTGGTAGTGCAGTGCAGAAGCAGGGGTGTGTGTCATTCCCGCGTCCCACCGCCCACAGTCCTCCCCCAGGAGCCCAGTGCAGAGGAAAGCAGACGTCCCCACTTGTTGCTATGAGAACTTGCGGGGACAAATGGTCTGATTAGGTGTTTAGAGGACCAGAAAACTCAACGTGCCTTCCACCTGCACCTCGTACCGCTGGTACGCGTGGTGCCTGAGATAATGCTATTTCAGCAGAACTGGACAGTACCCATAGTCTAGGCGGGATTTTCCTCCTACCATACAGACAACTTACCCCTCCTCACCCCCACCTCATCACATCTCACCTGGCACATCGGTGTTGCCGTTGGCAGAGAGAAGACAGAGACGACCTTGGGCCTTGGGCTGACTATGGTTTTGCAATTCAGTTACATTAACTGAGTTGGTTTTTGTTTTGGTTTTGGTTTTTTTTGGAGAGACTTTTGCTATAGGGCTGTGCACTCACCAGAAAGACAGAGACAGAGAGATGGAACGCAAGAAATCACCCCTTGGGGGATGGCCATACTACAATCCCTTCTCTTCCATTCTCCTCTCAGGATCTTGGGCACGCACGCACACGCTCCTGGCGTGAGTTTAAGCTATGTGGTCTGGAACTCGAACCACGGTTGACCACATGGGAGTCCAGTGACGTAGCCATTATGCCTACTGCTGGTCCCAACATTAACTGAGTTCTTGAAGGTTCTTCCACACATGGCCTGCTCTGAGAGCCATCAGAAGTGGCCCTGCCACCCCACAGCAGGGAGCAGTGGCATGGCCACTATGAGCAGATGGCCGTCCCAGGGGAGGCAGCCCTGAGGGTTGGTGATGTGACTGTCAGATGAGTTCTGACGTATGGTGAGCAGGGTTAACATGGCCGTGAAACTACTAGAAAGCAACTTGGGAGCCACTCGGGCTTAGGGAAGTGGGTTTTAATGGCAGCTCAAGGTAGCTTTCACAGGAAGACAGGTTTGTTTCTACACTGTGGGAGAAAGAGCTTATGTCACTAAGCGTTACCCTGAAGTTTTTGTATATATTATATATATATATATATATATAATTTTTTTTTGAGAGTTTTTTGTAATGGGGTGGGTATATTCACCAGAGAGAGAAGCAGAAAATAAGAAATCGCCCCTGCCCCGGGGCTGATGGCCATGCCACAATCCTTTCCCCTCTATTTTCCTCTTGGGATTTCAGGCACGCACGCACACACACCTGGCATGAGTTCCAAGCCTCCAAGCCTCCAAGCCTGGGACTTGAACCACTGTTGGCCATGTGGGAGTCTAGAACTTTAGCCGGTATGCCATCTGCAGGCGCCTGCTAGGCATGTTTTGATTGATTAGTATTTGGGGATTCTGGGTGTGTAGGGCCATTTTATACATGTATGTGCATACGCGCGCACACACACACACACACACACACACACACACACACGAGGTCTTCAAAAAGTTCATGGAAGCAAATATTATGGAAAAACTATGCATGGGTTTTGAAAACATTTGTACCAAAATAAGCTTGTGTTTTAATTCTATTTTTCCACAAACTTTTGAAGTCTTCTCACACATTGCTGCCCTCCATGTTAAGTGGATGTACTCTGGACGCCGTAATACTGTTGTGTGGATGTGCCCCGGACGCCGTAATACTGTTGTGTGGATGTGCTCCGGACGCCGTAATACTGTCGTGTGGATGTGCTCCGGACACCGTAATACTGTCGTGTGGATGTGCTCCGGACGCCGTAATACTGTTGTAGAGACAGCTCGTCAGCAGCCGCTGCACAGAGTGCTGGCCGGGGTAATGAACAGTAAATCGTAGCATTTCCCTGAAGAGAGCGAAGTGCACAGCACACCCCAAGGGAGGTCTGTAAAGCCTGCCCCAGAGCCCGAGAGCCAGTGCGGGGAGCTGAACGGCTGATGGTGGCGGTTCTCCTGCATGTCCCACCCGGTGCAGACAGTGTGGGAACTGCTGCGGGCATGCCCCGCCCAGGACCCTCGGGGACTGCTCACACAGGTTCGGGATCTGCTGGGTGTCTCCTGGAGGGGCGAGTGTGTCCACCTGTGGAGCTCCCCTGTGCCCCTGTTGGCCGCCTGCCCCCGCGGGGTCTTGGACCTCATGGGCGGTTTCAATGACGTGTTCACACATGTTACAGCTGCCGTCACGTGGCTCAGGCAGGATCCCCACCTGCCTGTTTTGTAAAAAATATGGCTGACCCCCAGAGCCAGCAGGTGGCAAAGTGCTTAAGGTGCTGGACTCCAGCATGACTGACCACGGTTCAAGTCCCAGAACCAGAGGCTTGAAAGTCATGCTGAGGGCGTGTGTGTGTGTGTGTGTGTGCCCCAAATCCCCAGGGAATGGAGAAGGAAGGATTGCAACGTGGTCTGATTCTCACTTCCCTTTCTCTGTCTCTTTCTGTTTCTATCCTGTGAACATACATGCGTTATGGCAAAAACCTTAAAAAAAAAAAGGCTAACCTTAGACAAAAACTTCCTATACGCTGAATTATCTGACTTTATGTTACAAGAATCAAGAAAAAAAATTTTCGATAGAAATTTTTGCTATAGGGCACGTGTACTAGTCAGACAGATAGAGAAAAACAGAGACAGAAAGTGAGGACTCACCCCCCATCGAGTATGGCCATGCCACAACCCCTTCTCCATTCCCTTCTCAGGATTTGGGCACACATGTGTGCCTGGTGTGAGTTCCAGGCCTCCGGATCTAGGGCTCGAACCAGGGTGGACTACCTGGGAGTCCAGCACTTACTCACCACACCACCTGTTGCCGAGATAAGTGTGAGAAAACGGTATTTCATGGTTGGCCACCTGTTGGGAACTGGCCCTTCTGTATCAGGAAGAGGAGACTTACTAGAAACAAGGGAAGGACCGAGGGCGTGGCCGTGCAGAGCCAGCTGCAGCCAGTCTATCCAGTTCTAGTCCTGGTGGGCAAGACCCTGCTGCCCCCTGCTGGAGGGCCCTGGCAGGCCACCTCAGGGCAGCCAGTGCCCAGGCATGGCTTCTTGGTCCCTCAGGGTGGTATCCCAAGTGTGTCCTCCCTGTGCGCCCCTGCTTTCCAGGGGGTCCCCCGCCCGGCAGTGACAGGCATTCTACTCAGCGAGGCTCGCTGCTGCAGGCTGGGTGGGCAATGCACGGCCTTTCCTGACTCCCCGGGGCGACCCTGGCTTGTCCTTCCCCGTGACCTCAGTCCCTCACCGCAATCCCTGTCGTCCCCACGGAGCAGAGCGCACCTCTGGGCTCGCCGTCTCCACTCACCGCGACTCCCTGTCGTCCCCACGGAGCAGAGCGCACCTCCGGGCTCACAGTCTCCGTGTCGTGTGTTTTACGGCAGCTCTTCTGATGCACTGGTTTCCAGAGTTGTCAAACTAGGCTCCAACTACAAACAGCCCGGTGTTTTCCCTTCTTTTTATTTTAAAGTTTGTTTCTTCCATGACTGAGAGAGTCGGGGGTGTGGGAGAAGGAGGGAGAGAACCTCCAGCAGGGTCTAGAGGCTGCAGGCTGCTCCTCACCTTCACCCTGGACCCTGGGCCGACTTGACCCTGGCATGCCAGGGATGACTCTGGACTCGAACTGGAAACCTTCCCACTTGGGATTGCCTGACAGACTGTCATGAACTGCCGTGCCACTGCTTGGTCTCAGACGTGAGCTGTTTTGTTTTTGGTTTAGGTTTCTGCCGGAGGGCGCTTGTGCTCCTGGAGAGTGAGAAATGGCCCTGTGCAGGGCGGGGGTGCAGTGGCCTTGCTCAGTCCCCTCCCCTCCATTCTCCTCTCGGGGTTCTGGACACGCACACACCCTCCGAGATTCTGAAGACGCTGAGTCCACGTGAACTGTGGAGTCGGCCTGTGGGAGTCCGGCACGTTAACCACCACGCATCCTGTGGGCCCGTAAGGCTAGTGTTTTTGGAAACCAGAAAACTGACCAGTTGATGTGCTTCAAGACACAAAGTCTCTGAACCCTTCCCACTCCTCACACACACTCGTGTTCCTGAGGTTACTGCAGGGCTGTCCGCCTCCGCCTTCCTGACAGCGGGGCGGAGGGGTCTCTGTCGCGGGGACCGGCCGTGCACTGAGGTGGCTGGCCACGCCACAGTTCCCACTCACTGACGCCCACGCTACCTCGGCCGGGGCGGGAACGTCAGACGTGTCTCCAGACCTCGCATGGTGTCCCCGGGCACTCCCCGGGTTGGGGACCACAGGTGCTCCAGACAGCGAAACAGTGCAGGTGACAGCAGCAGAGGCCCACGACGCTGGTCACAGTGGCTGGTCCGTGCCTGCCCAGTAGACATGCAGGGGAACAGAGTAAGGTTGTCCCGCTGTGTAACTGTGACAGACCAGAGGGCCCTTGGCTTAATTCAGTACTTTCCTGTGCCCTGACTTTCCGGCCCTAGGGAAAATTACAAAGGCGTGGTTACATCTTGGTTATTAAAAGTTTCTGCCTTGGGCGCAGTGGCCCGAGTCCTAGGGAAAATCTACCAGAGGCTGCAGCATTGCGGCGTCGAGATCATCTTTCTCTGGCTCTCTCAATGCGCACGTAAAAAATAAATGTGTCTTTGCTTTTGTTGCTAGAGAGCCACATAGAAATCTGAGCTCATGTCTAACGGCGCGTGGCCCCGCGAGCACGCTTCCTCTGACGGCTTCGCTCCTGCCTGCCCTTAGGTCTTTTGAACTGTTGAGAACACACGTCCGTAAGCGACTACCCGTGCTTTTCTGAAAGGCTGCGAGGATAGGTAATACATGCATTTACCCTTACGTAGTGGAACAGGTCAGATACTTAAAGTTCAGGCAACTACCCGCCCGAATCAATTAAGTGTTGCTCCCTAAGTCCCTTCGGTGTCCTAGTGCTGGGCTGCCGTGGTCCTGGCGGGTCAGGGCTCTCAGGGCCCTTCCAGGGGCAGTGGAGCGGGAGCTGGGCACGCTGCAGGCTGCTATCACAAGCTTATCTGC